CTAGCCCTTATTTGTTACTAATTGCATGTAGGGCAGTTATATCTGTATTTTTGTACATTCATGACAACAGAATGGAAAGTAAATGAAGAGTTTTTCCCCTCTTGTTTAGGACGAATCTGGCCTGCCAGATGAGGCAGAAGGTGGGGAGGGGGGCCCGCCCCAGAACCAAGCAGAAGGGAGGGGAGACACTCTGGAGAGACAAGCCAGCGCACTGAAGAAGAGACGGTATGTTTCATCATGCACAATGTCTACATCTGTATTTGTGTGCAGTTGAAAGTTTTCTCACAGATAACTTACATGTACAATGTAGACATGATATACTGTCATGTATCCATATTTCTTTCCATGCACATGTAGCCACATGGTACTTTATTTTGATTTGATCTCTGAGCAGATTTTTGGCTGGCTGCAAAGACAGCATGAAATTGGCAAGGCAGTATCCATTTGCAAGGGCCAGTTACCATTTGCCACCCTTTGGGCTGGCTTACAAAAAGCAAACCCCAATAAAACGTCAATAAAACGTCAAAAATAGGCCCAAGCTGAAATCTCTGTCTGGAAAGTACTTTTGCTTTTTATGTTGTTTTTTTTTATAAAGAAGTTGTTAAACTGATAGCATTTTTCTCTGTGGCGTTCCTCCACAGTGTGACAGGCTGAATAAAAGTTCTAAACGCGAACTATGCAGCTCTGCGTGTCTTACTGAGGGACGACTACGTGTGCGAGATGTCAGTTAGCTTGAGGAATGAATCCCCTCTACTATATACAGACATGTAATGATAGCAATTTTCCTGTGGTGTTCCTCCACAGTTTCATCCTCCAAGAGCTTCTGGAGACAGAGCGTGATTACGTGAAGGACCTGGGCAGTGTGATGGACGGGTACGTGGCCACCATGAAGGAGCAGGGCATCCCCGAGGACATGGAGGGCAAGGACAAGATCGTCTTCGGCAACATTCACCAGATCTACGAGTGGCACAGAGAGTGAGTACCATCCTTACTGCAGAGTCTACCATTTGTATCAGTTTTTATAGTGCAATGCTATACTCTTTACAACACAAAGAGTACACACGGATCAAATTTTCGATGAACACTCTCACCATCATCAGGATAACTAATGACCTTTCACTTCCAAATGTAAATCCATGAGAGTTACAGATACAGACACAGATGAACTTCCATTGACCATTTAACACTGGTCACCTCAATTTTGGAATGTCACTTTCCGAATTTCGAGACAGCTATGTTGAAACCCCTGATTTTCAACTTTGTTATTCCTGGATGTACAGTGAACTTTTGCATACCATTGGAAAGATCATGCTATCTTCAGTACCAGGTTGCTTTTTTATGGTCATAATGTATAAATTTATCAAGATATTTGACTTTAAAAATTGCAAGCCTGGTGGTCTCGAATACACACCGCCAGGCTCAACAGCTTAGCCTGGCAGTCCTAAACTTTAGCCCGCGGCCTGAGTTAGCCAGCCCGCATCCAGACCGCATCCAATTAGCCTCATGAACACCCCATGAAAACCACTGAATTAATGAGAATTCACATCTTCACACCTGTGTAATTAACAAGTTTGTGATAAAGTCATGAGAGGTCTGGGCTCAATGGTTAGCCCGCGGGCCTGAACAGGCCTGTCGGTCTGTGGACAGGCTGGGCTGATGATTAGGCCTTATGATAGAGGACCTTCAGACTTTAAACACCAAACAGAAAGTGGGAAACAAAAATATGCTTCCAGATTGATGATAGTTTACACATAGTTTGTCACTTCATATTAATAAACACCCTTCACATTTTCAGCTAATATTTTCAATATCAAAGCATTTAAAATAAGTGATTGCATATTATTGACAAGTATGATGTACTGGTATGAATGATCATGATAACTTTCAATTAGTTTCATGAATATTCATTTGTAAAATTTTCTGTTTGAGGAGGTGGATTTGGCTCCTGTTGTGCTACCTGGGCTGATACCTGGGC